AGTGAGCCCGGAGGACGCAGTGGGCGAGAGAGGAGGAGTTGGCATAGCGATAGGGTAGAGGCAGCCATAGCTGCCATAGGTGTAGTTAGGGGGAAAAGTGTGTGTGTATGCGTGAGTGTTCAGAGTGATGTGTGTGGGATATCCAGGGTGATCTAGTGTGTGTGAACAGTGAGTTGTTAGGGCGCTGAGTCGCCATAGCCAGCTGAAATTGAACACTTATCTGGAAGCCATATCTCTGAGTATTGAGTGGGCGCTTGTCGCCAGTTTGCTGCGTTGCTGTTTACATACATGAAAAGTGTGAATGAGATGAGTCTGATTACATTGGTATCGGAGCTGGTACCCGCTATTCCATGCGCGCTGTCGTGTGCAGGGCCTGATGCGCCATAGCCGAGGTGGCCGTCGAAGGCAGTAGTCCGCCATAGCGGACCTGAGGTTGAAGAAGCCGCCGCGCACCTGCAAGAAGACCACGACGAAGAAGAAGAGAGAGAGAGAGAGAGAGAGAGAGAGAGAGAGAGAGAGAGAGAGAGAGAGAGAGAGAGAGGAAAGGTTGAGCGAAACAAGATTGGGTTACTACGTACCTGTTGCGCTGATGATATTGTTGCGGAGAGAGAGAGAGAGATGAGCGACACAAGTTTGGTTGTCACTTACCTGTGAAGCAAGTTGTGCAGTCCACGTGAAGGAGAAAGAAAGTGGCCATAGCCGCGGGGTATTACCACGGAGTACCGAGGAGGGAGAAACCGGACAGAGGGGGAGAGACCGAGAAGAGAGAGAAAGCGGCCATAGCCGAAGGGAGGAAGGAGTGAAAAAAAAAAAAGAAAAAAAAAAAAAGAGAAGAAGAAGACAGSGGGGTGAAAGGAGGCGAGGAAGGTGAAGAAGAAGAAGAGGGTTGGCGAGGAAGAAGAGTCGGCAGCCATAGCTGACCAGAGGGTTGACCAAGAGGGTTGACCGGGGGTGTTGACCGACGATTACCGGAGTTGACCGGGGGTTATAGCAGTATTGACCAAGACTTTGACCAAGCTGGAGCTGGTAACATCTCGCCAAGCCCTCAGCCTATCCCTTGCCCTATGGATGTGCACACACCCCTTGGTACTTGCTGAGTCAAGTCAGTCTGTCTATTATTTCTGCATCGAGTCTCTTCTGTCCTAGGTGATAGATAGTACTCTGTGGATGAAGGATAGGCCTGGTTGACCATTACCCTACCGGATCTAGTACGACTGAGACTGTGGCAGATCCAACTGTCCAGGGGGGCATAACCCTCCCAAGGACCGGTGCTGACCGGCTGGACACGGTTGGTATGGTACAGTTGGCCTGAAAGACTGAGTTGCGGGCTGAAACAACAGGCAGTCTAAGTGTTGAGGGCCTTGTTGACCCGAACCCCTGTCAGACTAGGTAAGGCTAAAGGTTGTGTCTGACGACTCGACTGTCCCCGAGGTCAAACCCTCCCAAGGACCGGTACTGACCGGCGGGCTGCTCGGTGTGGCACGGTAGGCCTGAAAAGTTGAGCTGTGGGCGGTGCGACAGGTAAAGACCTTCTGATCTCGTCGTCCTGTTTGCGACGTTAAAGAATTCTTGAGGAGTTACGGGGGATCTCCTTAAATGCCTCCTGATCAGCAACAGGTCTAGTAGTGACAGCCATAGCATAGGTCTAGGCTAGTGATCCTAATTGGCAGGATCCCTGTCAGGATTCTGTGAGTCTTAGATTGAGTCTATAGGTTTGTCAGTCAGAGGTTAGAGTCCACGTGGTGAGGTCTGGAACCACTAACCCGGTTGTACACTTATCACCATGGTTGAGACCCGTAGTGGGTTAGACACGAGCCCCTATACTAAGGAGCAACAAGAAAAGATGGCCGCCTTAGTGAGAGAGAACAGGGAGAGGAAAGAGCGCGAGAAGCAGGCGAAGCTAAAGGAGATTGCAGAGGAACAGGCGGCGAGGATGAAGGAATTGGAAGAGGAGATGGAGAAAAAGAAGAAGGCTGCTGAAGAGGAAGCGGCAGTAGAAAAAGAAAAAGAAAGAATGAGGATTGAGAGCAGAGAGGGAAGTAGTGGCACGAAGAGAGACACAGACGCAGAGATGGAAAAAAAAATAAGTGAGTGGGTTGCTAACTTATCGTTGGGAGAAGATGAGGAGGCACAGATGTATGTGCCACCGGAAGAGAAAGAGGCGTTTGCCAGGGCCCTCGAAGTAATTAAGGACCCCTTTGAACGTCAAGAGGCCGAGGAGGAGAAGAGACTGGAATGGAAACTGAGGATGAAAAGGGAGCAGAAGAGGAGAAGGGAGGAAGCCAACCGGTTGACCGCAGAGGTGGAAAAGGTGCGGGCGTGTAGACAGGAAGTCCAGGCGCAGGCAAATGTTTCTGCCAAGATGGATAAGATGTTGGGATACTTAGAGGTGTTGAGTGAGGCCTGGCTAGAGGAACGGCACGCCAATCAGGGCCAGGATATTACCCTGAAAGCTATGCGGTCAGGTTTTAGAGAGTTTGCGCGCGAGATCGTTACCCACATTGGGGGCGAAGTCCGGCAACTGAGGGATAATGTAGGGAAGTACTGCGAAGGCGCCATTGAGGGTGCCAAAGCCATAGCCGCTGTAGTGGGCAAGGCCAGACCCCGTAAGGACCCGGTTAAACTTAAGTTTCCAAACGCGTACGGGGGAAAGAAAGAAGAAAACTTTGACAACTGGGAAGCCAGTGTCAACAGTTACATCTATCTACAGCACATCCTGTCAGAGGAACAAGTCCTCGTGGCCTTCCAGGCCCTGAAGGATGAAGCGGCTAGTTTTTCCAGGTCTCTTGCACACGCAGCCGGTTGTGAAAACAACCTGGTTGCTTACTCTAAAGTTACCCCCCTTCCTGGATTCCTCAAGCTCCTGAAGGAGCGATTTGCAGACCCAACGAGAGGCATTCGTGCCTCTGACAAGCTACAAACAATCCACTCACGGCAGTGGAGGAGTGCGCGAGCACTCAAGGGTGTCATGGACGACCTGGTGGCTGTCCCAGACCACGGGGTCACTGAGACCCAATTGGTCCAGTTATTCTATCGTGCCATGCCTGAGCCCCTGACGGGGCACTTCTTTGATAAGACCCAGCAAGCCGGCATCACCTATGATGCGTTGAGTAGGGAAGTGGTCATGTTCAAGTCAAAGTCCATGCCAGTTACCACCTTTTGGCACAAGGACTTAGAGAAGGGAAAAGGTGGAAAGGGCGTACCATCTCTGGCCAAGTCAAGGCCAAGGATCATATGATCCTGACATTAGAGGAAGGTGGTACAAACGAGGTTCCATATAGTCAGATCGAGTGGGGCCTCGAGGAAGAAGACAGTAGTGTAGGACAGGGGAGGTCTTATGCTGCTGTCGCGGCTGGAGGGAGGCCGCAAGGTAGAGGGGGAGGCCGAGGACCAAGCGCACAGGGGGTTGGCGGCCAAGGAAACCGCCAAGCGGGAGGTAGGGGTCAAGTTTCCCCGCCAAATCGCCAGGGTAATCGGTCCCCGCAACGAAGAGGTGGAAGGGCACATCAGGGAGGTTGGCACCCAGGCTTGCCACAGGGCAGGCCCTGGGAAGACTTGGGCTTGGACCAGTGTTTATGGCAGGAACGCGTGAACCTGGGTTAGTGCGTGTTTTGCGGTGACCCGGCCCACGTAATAAAATTTTGTCCAAAGTATCGATAGGCCCATTGGGCTGCCCAACTGTCAAAAGGCAGCCGCCAGTAGGGGTCGCAACTGCCCCTACTTCAAGGCCATGTGGAGAAGTGAGCGCGCGCGAACAGGATACTCCCAAAGAGGTTGCAGGCCCGTGCCTAGCTAGTTGTCCGGAGACCGCCTGTGTTAGCGTCTCTTTAGGGACGTCCCTCACAGGTGTGGCAGAAGAGTTAAAGGAGAGAATGCCAGCCTGGGCCAAGATGAAGAAAGAGAGTAAAGGACAGCTGATCTTGGTAGACATAGAAGTGTTTAGAAGTAGAGTAGGGGCCCTCATAGACTCAGGGGCTACCCGTAGTTACATCAGCCGCAGGGCGCTGAAGAAGTTGAGGCTGGGACAAAAAGTCCAGAAATTGGCAGACCCCATAGTCAGTGTCCTCGTAGACAACCGCACGATGCGAGTTGAGGACTATGTAGAGGGAGTCCAGGCGTACTTTCGCCTAGAGAAAGATGGGAAGGTGGAGAAAGTTCTCCATTCCCTGACTCTCCTCGTACAGGATGACCTTCCTTTTGATGTGGTGTTAGGAATGGATTGGGGAGAGGCAGCAGGGGCCACACTTCATTTGAGAGAGCATGAGTGTAGGCTCCCTAGTCCGACAASCGAGGTTAAGACTGCCCGCCTGTTTCATGTGTCAGGTGTAGACAACACCTTGGCACATTGCTGGCTCAGTGCTCCCACGTTCGCGCGGTTAGTAAAGAAGGAGCGGTTAGAGGAACAGGTCTTTGTAGTCTGTGTGAGACCTGTCACTGAGGCTAAGGAAGAGGTCACTTCCACAGATCCGACAATTGCCAAGCTGCTGGAAGAGTTTAAAGATTTGACTGAGTCGCCGACAGGAGTAGTGCCGCGACCCATCCAGCACAGGATAGAGATAGAGCCTGGGAGTAGAACTCCTAACGGTGCAGTCTACAGGATGTCCCCTAGAGAGTTAGAGGAGCTTCGCAAGCAGTTAGACGAGCTCCTCGAAAAAGGTTGGATCATGCCCAGTTAGTCTCCTTTTGGAGCAAAAGACATTAGCCAACCTAATGCGTGCGTATACCTGGCCAGGGATGAAGAATGACTGGATAGAGTATGTCCGCAATTGCAAAGTTTGCCAGCGTAATAGGACTACTACGCGTGCACCCCTTGGTCTTCTCAGACCCTTGCCCATTCCGGATCAGCTGGGAGACTCAGTGTCCATAGACTTCATGGACACCCAAGTTAAGAGCCGGCATGGTAAAAGCCAAGTCATGGTCATAGTTGACCGGTTTAGTAAGTATGCAGTTTTTGTCTCTTTACCTGCAGAGGCACGTACAGATTTAGTGATACAGAAGTTCTTTGACTTTTGGGTTAGTGAGAATGGCATCCCATTGTCCATAGTCAGCGATAGAGATAGTCGCTTCACCAGCCAGAACTGGCAGAAACTCATGCGAGTGTACGGGTCTAAGTTGTTAATGTCATCTGGCCGACATCCAGAGACAAACGGTCAGACAGAACAGATGAACAAGATCCTACAGCAAGTTCTGCGCATGTATATTAGACCAGATCAGATCAACTGGGATGAGATGTTGCCTAAGGTAGCTAGTGCATACAACAACAACGTGCATCTATCCACCTGCCGCACTCCCAATGAATTGCACAAGTCCTTTAGACCACGCAGATCGTTCGAAGGACTGAAYCGGGATCAGATTCACAGACTACCGCCCGGTACCAGGGAATTTGCGGTACAACATGAAAAAGAATTAGCAACTGTTGTTGAGAACCTCAGAAAGGCCCAGCATAGAATGATAGAGCAAGCTAATAAGCACCGCCGACCGTCGCAGTTTCAGGTAGGCGACTTAGTCTGGGTCAAGGCAAAGGAGTTTGCGCCTGAAGAAAACATCTCACAGAAGTTACTGCCTGCAYATAGAGGGCCGTGGCCGGTTCTAGAAGTCAAGGGCGGAGAGGATGGACCGTCATACACTATAGAAATCCCAGTACACCTCCACACATATCCTGTGTTCCATGCTTCAAAGTTGTTGCCATGTGTTACAAGCCAACAGTTCCCTTCTAGAAGATCCATGATCCCTCCGGATATGGATGGGACCTATGACATAGAAGACATTGTAGATGAGGATGTGTTTAGAACAGGAGGTAGAGGTCGTCCACAGAAACAGTACAAGGTCCGGTTTGCATATCAGGAACCGGAGGATGACCGCTGGTTTACAAGATCAGAACTTCTACAGACAGCTCCCGATATAGTTAGAGCCTACGAAAGGGAACAGAAAGGTAAAGGTCCTGCCTTGGACTGAATTGTTCTCGGAGGACCTCAAATTTAGGACGGCGGGAGTGAAACAGTATTCACCAGTTAGCAGTAGCTGCTGCAGATCCCAGGGTTCGATCCCTAGACCCCAACCTTACCTGTGTACAGTACCTGTGTCGACCCGTAGAGTTGAACCTGCGACCTGTGTATTTGCAATAGCTGATAGGTTGTCATAGGGTCCATAGGTAGCATGGGTTCGATCTGTAGACCTGTCGGGTAGGAGTCTTAGTCAGGTCTAGACATCGTAGCTGTAGTGTTCTCGAAAGGTCAAGGTTGTAGCTGCTACAGCCCAGAAGGGTCAGAGTCGTAGCT